GCATGATCTGTTTGGTATTTGAAAAATAAATAGTATAAATATGCCTTATATAGGTATGGTCCTAAACTATATTATTCAAATATAGCATGATAGGTCCACTTTAAGTTAATTAAATACAGGAGTGTACGAAGACGTTTTATTGAAAGGGATTGTTTCCAGTTCCATAGATAGTCTGTGGTCAAGGTTCTGTTTTCTGTAAGTTATGGTAGGAATTGTTCCAAATAGCTACCAATAAGAACTATCTGAATTGCTTTAAAAAAAAAAGTGAATTCACGTTTGATTGGGTTGTATACAATTGTTTGTGTGCCTACTATTAACGTAAGGAATGTTGAGCTTTTTGAGCTTTGGGACAACATTTATGAAGAAAAAAATATATAAATATATATGATAAAATACAAAAGTGGCAATGTGTATTTTTTATGAATATATTTTTAATGAAAAAGCTGTGTGCACCTCATGTTGTCAGAATCAAAAGGGGAACATTGGTTGTCGTGAAAGTTGCCACATTAGAGAATGAAAAAAACCATTTGACTTGTTAGGCAATAATGATAAATAACATTGACATACATATATTAGTTTTGTTGGGTTTTCAACAGGATGGAAAAGCTGAGCTTCAGCGGCTCATCGGTGAAATGAGAGCAGAAGGAGAGAGACACCAGAGGGAGCTAGAGACCGTGAGGCAGCAGAGCAGGAGAGAGGTGGAGGACGCCCGCAGAGAGGGGCTCCACCAGTGTAAGTCAAACCACAAGAGGACAATATTTAACAACTAGTACCAACCGTGAAAGTTAGAAATCAGTAATGTATGGGTGTGTGAGAATGTGAAACAAACTAAACAACAGAGCAGGGATGGTGTGGGGCTTTTTTACCCAAGACTCTCGGGTTCAAGCAGAGAAATCAAACTCATCAATTTCCTCAATCAATGTTGTTTCTAATAATAACATATGTTGAAATATAATAATCCCCCTAGCTTTTGTATTCAGACTATAATTACATTTTTTTTTTTTTCATAACACCAGGGATATTTTTCAACCCTTGTGTTGTGTTCAAAAGCTATTACTGTTCATGGTGTTCGAGGGTCAATTTTGACCCATGATTTATCTCAGTTCAAAACACTCAAAAATAATGACTATCATCCAATATTGTTTTAACTACATCTTAACTAACTTATTATGCATTCATAACCTTACAATCCTGTTAATTGTATGGTACCACAACACATTACACCACATATTTAAGTAAAACGTGATTAAATTCACTCATTATATTTCCTATAGTGAAGACAGTTACGTTATCTGACTACAATAGACTAATATTAGAAAATACAATCTCCCCAAAAAAAGTTTTAAAGTATTGTTACAGTGGATGAAGGGGGTGGGGGTGGGGTGTCTATAGTCAAAGATGAATCTTGATTGGGCCAAATTTGACCCCGAGTCACCCACAACAATGCTGTCAAAATCAGTTTTGTAGTGTTTATATAGCTGTTGTGGAGGGTAGCATGAAGCCTTGTTCCGTAAAAAAAAACTAGAGCCTAGTTATTATATAATTTTAACTTGAAACGGGTCACGGGAGACTCGAACACAACATAAGGGTTAAATGCATCTCAGTAATCTGCAGTTTCTCAATTGTCAGATGGTCATAAAAACAATAAAACTCTTGTGAGAATATAGTGGTGAACCATACCTTTCTTCTCAGATATTCAACTTGTTGCCTGTCAGAAAAGCAACACATGTTCCATATAATGTTGAAGATCGTGTAGAATGCTTGCTCGTGAGACCCAGAAGATACGCTATGCCATTTCCCGATGGAAACCAGAAAGATGATGCTCATACAGTTTTCCAGGTACTAACTCCACAAACAATGATGTTTAATATACCAATATATGTTGCTGTAGCCCATTTTTTTTATAAACTCTCAGTGATTCCTGTATTCATGTATTCAGAATGTAGGTATGAAGATAGCAACAAACCTGGTTATCAGAGTGCCAACATGCCTCAAGTACAGAGGAAGAGAATACCACCAGGACCATGGCTATAGTAATTGCTTTTCTTGTTCTATTGAGTGACACATACTTAACATTTACCAGCAATCAAACAGGTCAGCATGTAAGATTTTTCTCCTGCTTTTGTTGGATTCCTTTTTTGCTTTTTTTCGGTATGCGTCTAGGTTATGACAATAGTCTTGTGGTATCCAGTATGGAAAGTTCATCAGGGTCAACGGCTGGTACAAACAATTCTCCTGATGATTCACCAATTGAGACCGTTCGAACTTTCTTCCCTGAGACCTGGATATGGGACCTGTTGGAAGTTGGGTAAGAATATGCAATAAAGAGTTCTAAGGGTCATGAATTGAGTAAATGTATTCATTTAAACCAGATATACAGTATATGTAGGCCAGACTCCCAGCACACATGAATAGCAAGAAAATCCCTTAATGACGCTGCTCATCTAGTCGTGTTTAACATGTTGGCTTGAAGGGAAATGAAAGGGTATTTGTGATTCTATGAAACGTATATTCATCATTTTAGAGACGTTTATTTTATAATGACGATATGTGCGGAAATATTTTGGGCTTGTGTGCATCATTTTTAGGGTTATGGTTCTTTATTTAGAATATTGCCAGAATTGATTTAGCAAGACTGAAACAAGTAATCGTTTCTGAGTTTTTGAGATCTCAAAGGAAATTAAACAATTTCACATATGTAAGTTAGTATTTAAGTATATTTCTCAAGGTCACGGAATCTGTTTGTGTGCTTCTGCTGATCCAGAAAGTCTGGAACAAAGGATATGTCCGTCACAGTCCCAGACACCATCACCACCTGGGAGACGGAGGCATTCTGTTTGTCCTCTCAAGGTTTTGGCTTGGCTCCTCGTAAAGAGATCACTGTCTTCCAGCCCTTCTTCCTCGAGCTCAGCCTGCCCTACTCCATCATCCGAGGGGAGCACTTTGAACTGAAGGCAACTGTCTTCAACTACCTGACCAGCTGCATCATGGTAACTCATGTTTTCACATGACCTATTATTACGTCAGCATGCTCATAATAATTGCTAACATGCTAAGCAGGTGCAATACAATTCATTATTTGGTGAAAATGTAAGAAATGTTATGTAAATGCACCCAATATTTATGCAGTTTATGGTTTCATAATGCCTTCACTTTATTTACTTACTTGTATTGCACTGTGGTAACGACTTTGGTGCAAGTAAAAGGTAGCTGCTTTCTATAAGGAAGCATGAGAAAAGGTCCAACATTTCACCCTCCAAACATTGAACTTGTGAAGTCCGAGCGCAGAAAATATTCTGTCTCTTGATAAACTGTCTTGTTCCGGTAGGTTCCTCCCAGTTTTGCCTGTACAGATCCTCCCCTCAAAATGTCAACGGATAATTTATTTGTGCATCATACCGTTGATAGCCAGTAGCGGAATGGATACTGCTCAGCTCTTTTTGCCGTATGGTTTTTATATTGTCACTGTGCCCATCTTTATAAATCTGTATTGTAGGTCGAAACATCTCCAAATAGCTTTTTGTTGTTGTCTAGACTTTCTGAAGTCAATCTGGATACAATCCTTGTAACCAAGGCTTTAGTCCCATACTCATGGACCCAACTCATTGGTGATCTTTTTTGGTGAACACTTAGAGTATTCTAATGAAGAAGTCTTGTCTGGTAATGATGAAGGCAAGGATAGGGAGTGTAAGAAGAACAGCAATGTTCTTCAGATGGGAAAAAAGCAGTTTTGCTGATATGGTAGGAATGAGAAGGTGGGGTCGAAGATGATGCAATAGTTGTGCAGGGGGCGATGAGAATGAGATGTTCAGTGAAAATGACTGGGCATAGTGGGCGAGGGAATTTGGGCAGTTTTTTTTATATAGATGCCATGTTGACGGAGGATGCTTCCTAGGGGAAGGATATACAGGACAAAAATGAGGGGAGCGAGGACTGAACCCTGGGGGACACCATGAGGGAGTTGGGCAGTGGGGGTATGGCAGTTATTTACGGATTTTGGTGTAGCGAAAATTATGTAAAAACAGGAGAAGGCAGTTATGTCGATGGTGTGAGAGGAGGATGGAATTGTTGATTGAGTCAAAGGCATGGGTGGCGCCCGGGGGTAGCTTGGAGTTGCTAGAGCATCTCCAACAATTGGCCTAGCAACGGCTTAGCAACACCTATTGTTTTGTTATGAAAATGTATCTATATTTATACCACATTCTCTCGAGATCTATCAGGGGTCGTTGTAATGCTGCGTTCAGACCGGACGCGATGCGATGTTTGGGGGCGGCGCGATTACATGTAAAGTCAATGCAGAGACGAGGACAGACGCAAATTCGCTCCGACGGCGAGCATGAAACGGTGGAAACAGGCGCGAATCACGCGATTAGAGGCGATTGAACTGTGCCGCGTCACGCGAGAGTTCCACTCAAGCGTCAATTCACGTACGAGCGTTCGTCCGCGGACAGCAATCAGCGTCCGGTGTAAGGAGCTGAAGTCTACTCAGAAGGTTTTGATTTCTCATTTAGTTGAGAGGAAATAAAAGGCGAAGTTCAGAAATGGTCTTGGACCGAAGTGGAAGACACATCTTTGAAACCCATTCTGGGTGTTAAGATAATTTCTGCAACCTCTTTTGTTTGCTTTTGCTATAATCTACATTTTCTAAATAGTATTGCTGTCTCTCTTTCAACAGTTACTGTGGCTCGCAACCCCCTCCCAGTTAGATTAACACCTTACCCCGCCTCTCATGGTGATCACAGTACCATCAATGTTTGATGTGAGTGGAGAGCGCAAACCCTAGCTGAGACCATGGCCCCCTCAGCTTTAGGTGAGAGAAGATTTCTACTGATGAATGTAAATGTATAAAGTGTAGCCAAACTAGATAAACTTTTCTTTTTTTTTACCTTGTGACATCATTAAGATCCAACGTAGTGACAGAATGTTTTATACACTATTAGTTAATAAATAACACCAATTGATGATCAATGTGTTACATCTTGTTTGTTGTTCTCTTGTAGGGGTTATGAATGTGTCCAGTGACTGCTGAGGGCTGTGGCATCCAAGCCTTCATGGCTGAACAAGGAGATTGTGAGCGTGCCAGAAAGGGGTCGTATCGACGTGGATCAAACGTTCTCTCATAGTCCCAAGGTCAGGACGTTTAACAAATGATAAAGTATAGTTCATCATTAACTAGAAAGAATACTCTGGAACTCGCATTATATATTTTCTTCAGGCTGAAGGAACTGAGATGTCCAAGACTACACTGCTCGCTCTGCCAAAAGGTCAGTTCGTTGCAGAAAATAACATCCAATAAGTTAAGGAGATTTCCCCATCAAGAATATGTGACCCTGTTATCGAAATCAAGTCTAGGCGAATACCAAGTTAATCGTGGATTTATGTCCAAACCTTGTGCAGTGATATTACAACCAAGAGCTGTGTGTTGTGTGTTGGCGCTCGAAAATACACACAACACACAGATGAATCTCAGTGAACAATAGCGCTGATGAACATTAGTAGAGGACGGCTGCTGACA